GTCTTTCCTTGTCATACTAGATTCAAACAGAGAACATCATTTAAGACTGTTATTGCAAGTAGTAAGACATCGTTTCAGCTAAATCCTGCCTACTTGTACGTGTTTTTTATCATGAATATATTTGTTTGCCTCTGCCTGTATTTACATGCATACACAGAGTGATACTTCAGCCATTTTCATATTTGCACCGAGCAACAAACAGCTCAAATAGTCCACGCCTTGGGGTACGGGATTTAAGAGCTTTATTTTAGAGCTAAATTTATCTGAGGAAAGGCACCATGGCAAACCACGAGAGCCACAATTTGATTGAAAATCTCCGAAGTTGGAAGAAGAAGCCACTGAGGACTGCGTTTCTGCCTCCTATAAATTTTGGGAGGTGGCCTGGGGCAGTGGTGGGGATGCTCAGCAGCGCTCGGCCGCTGTCCCGAGCAGAGCGGGCAGAAGTGCCCGTCACAGATAACTCCTGGCCGGCTGCTTCCAACCCTATTTGTGCGCAATCCCATGAGGGACAGCAAAGCAATGTGCATCGTTGCCCAGCATGGCCATCCTCTGCTGTGCACGGGAACTGCACCTCCTGCCAGAGAGACTTGGGGTTTTACTGCTGCCTCTTACTGCCTTCTGGTTTTCTTTCTTCTTTTTTTTTTTTTTTTTTTTTCCCTTTTTTGTAGGGGGGTGCTAGTGTGGGGGTAGGACCAAGGGGAAAAGACCTCCAAGCTAAAAATCAAATCTCGCAGAACCTTTGGTCACAGACATGGGCCTGCTATAAATGCCTCTTTATCTAATCTTGGAATAGAGAAGCTGATTTTCCTCCCCATGGTTTCTATATATTTTTAAATTAAGCTGAAAAGAACAGTTCAAAGGAAGCAGACGTCTCTAACCATCAAAATAATTTAAACTTACAAATGCTACAGTGGATTTTCCAGACACTGCCAGGAATTTTAAAAAACATTCATCTCCGCAGCTCAGAGTATCCTCCGAGACCTTCAAACAATGTACAATTCCTCACCTGGTTTCAGCTCTGTCACACACATACTTTGCAAGTGCAGGAACGCCTAAATTAAAATTTATTTCTTTCACTAAGCAGAATTCAGGAGCATCCATTATAGGAGAGAAGAGGGATAATCCTTAGGGCCTCGTTTTCAGTGTTTCCTTGACTTGAACTAGATTCTGTGCACCAGATTTTTTTGAATCATTGCTGTTCTAGTTGTTCAGAGCTTGAATTTACTTGGCAGAGTATATTCCGTGCCGTGATTAATTTGATATTACAAACTTTGTTTGACAATTCCTGTTTTGGAGGGGGAGGGAAGAAAGGGGGAGGCTCAACAGTTCACCAAGATTTGAGGGGAAACCCCCCAAAATTAAACAAAGCCCGCTGTTGCTACTAATTTATGCTGAAGTAAAGACATTGCCTTTTAAAGAAACACATTACACCAGTGCTGCTGGGTCAGGCACACACAGGGGCAGAAACCTCCAAAACACCTCTCAGGTGTTTATGGCTAGAAAGGGGATCATCCTCGACAAAGTCTGAGTGTATACGAAGCTTTCCTCATTTTCCAACTGGAGAAAGATTTCAGAATACCTATCTATCTATCTATCTATCTATTTATTTTACTCCTCAGCTCACACAACCTGTGTGCAGGCCAAGAGCTGCATCAAAGGACACACCTTCCAGCCCCAGGGGCAGCGTGTGCCACTTGGGCTCTGGTAGGTAAGAAAACCCCAAACCCTCGCACCCGGCCTTCCCAGGGCGAAAGCGGGGGTTAATCACGTTAATGAACCCTCTCTCCCAATAAAGGCGTCGGATTGAGGC